ATATTCAATTATTATCTAAAATTTTAATTGAAATTAATTTTTAAATAAATTTTTATTTTAAAATTCTACGAGAATTAAATTATTTAAATGCAAAAATAAGTAAATAATTGAATAAACGAATGTTTCTCAAATTTTAATTCTCATAAAGAATTTTATTAACATAATTGAATTTTTTCGACGAATTTTAATAAAATTTTCGAGAAAATAACATTTTTCGTGGAATTTGATTAACATTATATTAAAAATAATTGTAATTTACTGATGAGTTTTATTATTCATGAAAATAATTGAATTATTGCGAAGAAATTTATGTATAAAATTTTTAAATAATTGAATTCCTGGGAAATTTTTATTATTTAGGAAAATAATTTAATAGTTGCTTTGAATTTTATCAACTTTTTTTTTAAATAATTGAATTCTTTTAAAAAAATTTATTAAAATGGTAGTTATGGAAAATCATTGAATTGAGGAAAATTTTTGAAAATAATTGAATTTCTGCCAAGAATTTCATTACAATTTATGAAAATAATTAATTTTTTTGAAGAAAATCAATTAGAAATATATTGAACATAACGAATAAATTCTAATAAACAAATTATATTTTGATGAATTTTAATAAAAAATTTTATATTTTAAGAATAATTACATTTTTTGAGAAATTTAATTAAAATTGTATTAAAAATATTTTATTTTAAATAATTGAATTCCTGTGAAGTTGTTTTTTATGATTTATGAAAATAATTGAATTTTAGCGAAGAATTAATTTATTATTTTTAAAAATAATTGAATTCTTTCTACGAATTTTAATAAAATTTTTAAGAATAGTTCCATTTTTTGAGGGATTCAATTAAAATTGTATTAAAAATAATTGAAATTCACTGATGAATAATGTAATTCTTACAACGAATTTAATTACATTTTTTAAATAATTGAATTCATGCAACGAATCTTATTACATTTTATTTAAATAATTAAATTCTTTCGAAAAATTTTATTAAAGTAGTTGATATTGAAAATTATTGAATTGAGAAAATTTTTTTAATATAATTGAAATTTTGCCAAGAATTTTATTAAAATTTTTTGAAAATAATTGAATTTTGGATAAGAATTTTATTTTTAAAGATAATTAAAATTTTGACGAGTCTTTTTTAATTTTTGAACATAATTGAATTTCTGCAAAGAATTTTATTACTTTTGACAATAATTGTATTTCTGCAGTCATTCGTAACTTCTCCTAAATTCAATTTTTTCCAGTACTTTAATAAAAATCCTCGACTTTTCCTGATTTTCCTGACAAATTTTACTTTCTTTGACTTTTCTCTGAATTCCCTGACCTGTAGCAACTCTACATTATTTTTTTTTTTATTAATAATAATAATAATAATTTTTTCCGTATATTATGAAAATTGTTAACAATTGTTAGTGGAGACAAAAAAATATATGTGTAGATATTAAATATTCGCTTAATCGTCCCGCATAAATTTGTAAGACGTCTCTTGAGAGATTCTGATCCTTCAATATTTGGTTGTGAGAATTGAGATATGATTTTTTTTTATTCGTACTTCCTGTGGGAAGTCGTTGAATCCTTCATCGCTTTCACTCTCAAAGTACCCTTTGCAACCCCAGCCTCCCATCAGTTTTTGCTCTTGCTTTCTCCCTCACTCCTTCTCTCTTGCTATATTCATTCGTCTGGAAAAAGTCGTTGGAGAAGACTCGTAAACCGAATCATCGACGCAAATGTCGAACTCCCTCCCCAACCAGGATTCGAAAATCTCGTTAAAGGTCGGATTTCGATGTATTCGCGGCAACAGGAGTTAAAGAGAAAAAAAAATAAATAAGCTCCTCTTAATTCCAAACACAAATTTCATGAAACGGCAAATTAGAATTGCTGCAATTTTCGTTTTTTTTTTTTTTATTTTTAAGGAAATTTTAATTTATCGAGCAAAATTATTATTAAGAGGTAAAAAGTTTAGCTAATTACTGAAGTATAAAAAAATGTGAAAAAGTAAAATATTAAAAAAGTATTTTAAACAAATTCAGTTTAGTTTATAAATTCGACTAATTAATTAATCAATGAATTAATTATTATTTAATCAAATAATGAATTATTAATTAATCAAATATTTAATTATTAATTAATCAAATTATTAATTAATAAATTAATTATTCATTATTCAATCAACTAATTTTCATTAATCAAAATATGATTAATTAGAATATCAAAAAGATATAGCAGTATTCAAATTGTAGACAAATTTTTCCTAAAAGTTTTGAACAAGATTTTTTTCTCTGTATGAATATTTCCAAAAATTACTAGACACTTAGAAAAAAGTTTTTGTTGATTTAAAGAAATCATTAGCTTTGACTTGTTTCTTCGATTAAAAATTAATTTTTCTTTCATGCAAAAAAAAAAAAAAATGTGATTCAAAACCATTTTTTTTGACGTTCTAGAAATTGGCGTCGACGCTCAGCATTGAAAACTATTTTTTTTATTTTTCGTGATATAATTTTAACTAATTTCACTTCTTTCATTCATCTAAGAAAAAAAATTTTTTAAAAGTACTTTTTTTAATTTTAAACCTTGGGACAAATTGAGTCATTTTTTCGGTTTTGTGAAAAAAATATTTTTCAATGCTTAGCGTCGACGCCAACTTCAAGGACCTTTTTCTTGACTCGAAAACAATTTATTTGATTTGGAAACAATATTTTTGATTCAAAAATTTTTTTTTTTATTTGAAAACAATTTATTTGGTTTAAAAACATTTTTTTAATTCGAAAAAAAATTTATTTGATTCAAAAACATTTTTTTATTTGAAAACAATTTATTTGGTTTAATAACATTTTTTTAATTCGTAAACAATTTATTTGATTCAAATAAATTTTTTTTATTAAAAAATAATTTAGTTTTTGTTTGATTCAGAAACAATTTATTTTATTCAAAAACATTTTTTTGATTCGAAAACAATTTATTTGATTTAAAAAAAAAATTTTAGATTCAAAGAATATTTGTATTTTAAATCAAAGAAATTTCGTTTGAATCAAGAACTTGACTTTTTATTTGAACGAAAAATTTATTTTTAATGAAATAAATCGAGTTCAAGCCATTTATTTTTTTTTTAAATTAACAAAAAAAATTGAATTCTTATAGATAATTTTATCGAAATTTGAAAAAATAATTGAATTTCTACAAAGAATTTTCTGAAAATTGTACTTTATTGAAAGTAATTGAATTTTTGTAAAGAATGTTATTTATTAATGAAAATAATTTAATTCTTGCAAAGAATTTTATTACAATTTTTGAAAATAATTGAATTTTTCGAGAAATTTTATTAAACTTCTTTTCAAAATAATTGAATTGCAATGGAAAATTTTAATATTTATAAGAATAATTGAATTTTTGCAATTAATTTTATTGAAATTTTTGAAAATAATTTAATTCTTTCGAAAAATTTTTTTTAAATCGAATTAAAAATAATTGAATTTTTTTGGTGGAATTTAATGAAAATAATTGTATATTGATAATAATAATTTAATATAAAGAATTTTATCAAAATTGAATTGAAAATAATTGAACATAAAAAATTTTATCAAAAATCGTATCGAAAATACTTAAATTTCTACAAAGAATTTTCTTAAAATTCTATTTTATTGAAAGTAATTGAATTTCTGTAAAAAATGTTATTTATTAATGAAAATAATTAAATTCTTGCAAAGAATTTTATTACAATTTTTGAAAATAATTGAATTTTAAAAAAAAATTTTATCGAAAATGTATTGTATTAAAAATTATTTAATTTTATTGAAAGGAATTTTACTATTTATAAAAATAATTGAAATTGTTTCGAAAGATTTATTAAAATTTTTGCAAAATAAATAAATAATTGAATTCTTTTGAAAAATTTCTTTAAAATTGTTTAAAATTATTTTCAAATTGTTTTGAAATAATTGAATTTTTACGAGGGATTTAATTAAATAAAAAATAATTTAAATTACATGAAGAATTTTATTTAAATGTTTAAAAATAATTAAATTCTTTAGAATAATTCAATTAAAATTGTATTTAAATAATTGAATTTAATTAAAATTGCACCTAAAAAGAAGTTTTTGTTGATTTGATAAATTTGAAAAAAAAAGTTTTTACTTTTTTCTTTCATTGAACTTTATTTTTTCTTTGATTAAAAAAAATTGCTTTTTTTAAAGAACAATTTATTTATTTAAATTATTATTTAAAATAATAATAATTATTATAATATCGTAATTTTTTTTTAAAATTTTGAAATATAATTTGAAATAAATGTGAAATAAAAATTCGAAATAAAATTATTTCCTGTTGGAAAAGAAATTTTTTTATAAAAACTCTAATGATGAAGTTAGAAATTAATCCTGAAACTTTAATGAGCAAAGAATTTAAATAATGACGTTTTCACAAAACTTGACAATTTTAATGAGTTTGTTAAATTCTCATTAAGATGAAAATGATTTTCTATTCATTGCTTTGAATTTGTCCTTTGAATTATTAATTTCGTCTCTGTTTCGATATAATCATTTAGTTTCTATAGATTTACAACTTTTTTTTATAACATTTACATTAAGTAGAGAGAATTTTCCTTTTACTTCTCTCATAATTTTTTTATTTTATTTTCTTTAGTTTTTTATTTTCTTTTTTTTTTATTTTCACTTTTTGAAATATTAATCTACACATTTTTCAAGCGTTGGTTTTAAATTACTTTTTTTTTCTTTCAATTCGAAGGTAAATATTTATTTCAAAGTTCGCTGGTGTTAGTTTTATTTCTTTTTTTGTCTGAAAATAATTACTTTTAATTCGCATATATATGAACTTGGAAAAATATATATTATGGAAATTTAACAAGAATCATGTGAACGTTGAAATAAATTTCGTTTTATCAAAGGGTTAGGGGAGTAGGTAAAATGAAGAATATCTTTTACAATTTAAAGTGGAACTAATTTGACTGTAACTGGTTTTTTTTTCATTTTTATAGGGTTTCTCCAGGAAACTCGTCAAAGAGAAGTGCTCAACCGTCTGGTCGTCGAAATGGTCGACAGCAGTGGATGGAAGAGTGTAAACGTCATGGACACGCCGTTACCACTCAAACTACCCTGGTAAGTTTTTTTTATCGACTGAAATTAAAGAAATTTAATTAATGCTAATTAATGTTTTCAATTAATATTCAATTTTTTAAATTTATTTACACAATTTTTTTCGCGCTATTAATTTCGGTAAATTCAATCATCGTAATTTTTCATTCATTATTATAATTGTATCTGAATTTGTCAAATTAATTCTTCTGGTTGAATTAATTTTAATCAATTTTATTAATTATAAATTTTAACTATAAATTTTTTTAATTTCAATAGAAAAAAATTCGCTAATTGAATTTTAAATGTATTTTTCTATTTCAATTAATTTTAATTATTTTATTTCATTTTATTTCATTCCAATTCATTTTATTTCATTTTGATTCATTTTCAGGGTTGTCACAAATCAGGGAAATCAGAAAAATATAAAAATGTTTAGAAAAATTAGGGAAATGATAGAAAATTTTATCAAAATTCTGTCTGGAAATTAGGGAAAAATAAAAATTTTGTAGCAACCATGATTTTGTTTTATCTATTCATTTAATTATTTTATAAATTTAACAAAAATTAATTAAATTTCAATAGGAAAGAATTTCGATGATTGTTTTTTGGATTTTTTTTTTTTTTTTTGACGTTTTTAAATTTAGGACTGTGATTATTATTAGTGGCATTGAATTTATCTGTAAATCAGAGCTTTATTTTGATCTAGGGCGAATTTTATTTGATTTCAATGGAGAAATTTCGGAGGCTTTTAAAATGTCTTTTAGAATATCCCCCAACGCGTAAGATATCCGGATCAGACACTGAAATGTGATTGCTTTGCTTTTATCCCGGGGGGAATTCTTTATCCGAGGCAGAAAAATCGTGTATTGCTTCTCTAAGCTCTGAAATTTAGACTGTTTTTCAATTTAATAAAACAGAAATTCATAATTATTTGAAAAATGAATTCCTTTTTATTTAATTCTTTTTGGACATTTTTCAAATTTTCTGTAGACATTTTTCAATTATTTTAAGAAAAGCCACCTTTTTTTTATTTTTCTTCAAAAATATTGCAACAAAATACCACTTTTTTGGTACGAAATGCAATTTAAGTATATCTCGAATTTTATAGTGTGAAAAATAACTGAAATTAAGTCAAATTTTTGAAAAATTATTTTTGAATAATTTCTTTAAAAGATAATTCTTCAAAAACTTTATTAGTTTTTCATATTTTCCAAAAATTTTCTTTAAAAATCAATTTTCAAAAAAATGTACAAAATTTCAATTATTTGGTAATTTTTCAATTTTTATTGGACACTTTAACACTCTAATTTTCTATTTTTGTAAAGAATGTGAAAAAATGTTAATTTTTGTGGGAGAAATGGCTGTTACAAAAGTGAAATTTTTGTGTTTGGTTTGTTTACCTTTTGGTTTGTTTACATTTTACAACTTGGACATGCCCTTAAATTAAATTTAAAAAAAAATTAATGAAAATTAGCTTCTAATTTTTTTATATTCAATATTTTTAGTGTTTTTAATTACATATATTTCCTAAAATCTAAACAATACAAAAATAATATTTCAGAATTATTTTTAACATTTTGAAAAAAATATTTATATTAAAGATTTTTAATTGGAATTCATCAAAAAATTAATTAGTTTTTTTAAATTATACAAAAAATCAAATAAGAAATTCAATAATTTTCAAGAAAAATCAAGAGTTACAGTTTAATTATTATAACAAATTTAATTTTCATATTAAAATAATTAGGTTTTTAAAAAAATTTTTTGGTAAATATTATTCAAAATAATTGATTCAAAGAAGAAGTATAGTAAAAAATTCTATTAAATTATTGAAGGGTAACAGTTGAAATTTTTATAAATAATTAAATATCAGAAAATTTAAAATTGAAATTTTTTAATTTTTTAATTCTTGTGAAAAAATAAATAACAAGGATTTCAACATTTATATAAGAAAATTATTAAATTTTTCAATAATTCTGTTTAATAATGAAATTTTTTTCCTTAAAATGACAGAGAAATATAAAATGAATTTTTTGTTGTAATAACAAATAAAATAAACGACTTTTTTCATTTTTTTTGTGTATCTTTAATCGACTAAAGCGAATTTTTACTTTCCAAAGTTGATCCGAAGCCTGTAAATATTTTTGGAATTTCTATTCGAACGAATTTGTTTGTTGAAAAAAATTTCCATTTCATAGAATTTGCATTTATTTGCTTGGTTTATTTAATTTATATTTTATATTATTTGCTTTATCAGGTGAATAATAAGTAAAGTAAATAAAAAATATAATTTCTACAACATTCTCACAATAATTTAATTATTTTCAAAATTAATAAAATTCTTCGTAGAAATTTAATTATTTTCGAAGAATAAAAAGAAAATTGTCGTCAACATTTCAATTATCTTTATAAATTAATTGCAAAGTTCAATTATTTTCAGAAATTTTAACAAAAAAAAAGAAAAAAAAAAAAAAAAAAATGCAAAATTCAATTATTTTCATAAATTTTAACAAAATTCATTGCAAAATTCAATTATTTCCATAAATTCGTCACAAGAATTCACTTATTTTTAAGAGTAATAAAATCCAATTATTTTCAAAAATTTTAATAAAATTTCCCAAAAGAATTTAATTATTAAACTGAAATTTTGATTATATTTTACACGAACATGCAATTTTTAGAAATAATTGCCTTTTTAAAGAGATTTCAAATTAAAATAATTGGTAATTTGAATTTTTTCCACTTTTAACTAACAAATTTGTAGAATTAATTTTTTTGAAAAAGTTTAATTGAATTTTTTAAAAAAATTATTTCAAGTATTTTCAATATATATATATATATTTAATTGAAGAATTTCCGAATAATCAAAATTTCCTGTAAAATTGAATTGCAAACAAATGAATTTGAAAAGTCTCAAATTTTTTAAAATAATTACATTTTTCAAAGAATTTACTTAAATTTACTGTATTGAAAATAATTCAAATTCTGTGAATAATTTTATTATTTAGGAGAATAATTGAATTCTTGCAACAAGTTTTTATTAAATTTTTTTTTTTAAATAATTGAATTCATGTGAAAAATTTTATTATTTATGAAAATAATTGAATTCTTTTGAGAAATTTTTAAAAAATAGCCTAAATTGTGAAAAGATTTTAATTTCAGCGAAGAATTTCGTTATTTGTGAAATTTAATTGAATTCTTGCAAAAAATAATTACATTTTTCGATGAATTTATTTAAAATTGTTTTAAAAATAAATTAATTCCTTTGAAGAATTTTATTATTTATGAAAATAATTTAATTCTTATAACAAATTTTATTATATTTTTTTAATTAATTGAATCCATGTGAAAAATTTTATCATCAATAATTATTTTAATTTGGAAAATAATTGAATGTTCGTGTAAAATATTGTCAAAATCTTTATTTAATAATAATTGAATTTTTTGGGGAAATTTTATTAAATTATTTGAAAATAATTTTTGTGACGAATTTGAAAATAATTCTTGTGACGAATTTCTGAAAAAAAATTGAATTTTGTCGAAGAACTTTGCAATTAATTTATAAAGATATTTGAAATGTTGACGATAATTTTTTTTATTCTTTGAAAATAATTGTATTTCTGCGAAGAATTTTATTTATTTTGAAAATAATTGAATTCTTGTGATGAATATTGTTATTTATTAAAATAATTGAATTTTATTTGAAAGAATATTATTATAAGGTATTGAATTTGGAATTTTTGAAATCTTTTTTCTTATGAAAAAATAATAATGATTCAAAAAGAAGTTTTCGACTAATTTTACAATTAAAGAAATTCTTAAATGAGATAGAACATTTTTTTTGAGTATTTAATCATTTTTGAGTGAATCAGAATATTCTTTAGAGTCAGGGAAAAAGTCAAAATTTTGTCTGGAAATCAGGAAAAAATAAAATTCAATTTTTGTGACAACGCTGAATAATTTATTTTCAGAGTTATTCTTTATTTATTTTATTTGCTTTTTTATTTTATTCGCTTTATTTATAAATTTATTTGATTTATATTGGTTACATTATTTATTATATTTGTTACATTTTTTTTTATTTGCATTATTTATATTTTCTATTTCTGAAAATGAAAACAATTGAAATGTAAAAAAAAATATTTGTCCTCAGCCAAAAACAAGACACCAACGTCCATACGGTTGGGAGAATGGAAAAGGCGAGCCGTTCCGATTGTCGAAACCGCCGAGTCCACCGAGTAAATTTGCTAGTCTCCCATACGATGGTAAAGTATCGTTCAATTGGATTCCACCGAGAACGTGTCCAAAGGCAATGGAAAAGCATCGTGAAGTAAGACGTCGATCATCTGAGGAGGGTCTCGACAGTAAAAATCCAAGTCCAGAAAAAGAGCGACCGTCCCACAATCGAAAGCAAAGACAAAGCAATGAAATTACCAAATCGAATAGCGTTGAGGATCGTCTTCTAATGAATCATCATCACAATGGCGGTGGTTCCGATATTGAATCGTCGTCACGTCGTCGAAACAATTCCGATTCAAGTGAAGGACGTTTCTCAAGAAATTCAGAATCCGAACGCTCGTCAATTCCACGTTCGAGTTCAGTGAGCGTTGAACGTTTCTCAATGAGGGCAAATTGTGATTCATCTGATTTTTCACGAGCCAATTCCACGTCCAATGAGAGATTTCATTCGGATTTCTCGATAGCCGTTGCAAGTGCAAGTTCAAATGATCATGATATTGACGATGTTGATATTCCATCGTCGAATCCATTTAATATAAGAAATTTGGATTTTGTTTCATTTTCATTGCCACGGGCGGAGTCGAGTGAGAGATTCTCGGCGCAAACTTCTGATAGGTGCTCGGAGGAACGTTATTCGGATAGATTTTCAACGAGAAATTCCGATTTCTCAACGAGAAACTCAACGGACTTTAGAACACAATCGGAGGAGGAACATTTCTCGGACGATTCACTTGAGGAGATGCTTCCACCGCCGCCTCCAATTAGCAAACGACACTCAATCGCTTGGGAAGTGTCACTTGAGGACGATCCACTTTACGCGCCTGGCAGTACGAAAGTCGTTGGTAGGAGACGACGAAAAAGCAGTGACATGTCCAGTGAGTGAATTTTTATTCTATTTCACTTTTTTACTAACTTTTTACTACCCCTCTAGTCTGCTCGACAGTATTTTCTTGAGACTATAAGAAACTGTGTAAAAGCAGAAACTGCAAAATTGGAAACTATAAAATAAGAAAATAAAAAAAGAAGAAGAAAAATTGGTAAAATAAAATCAGAATATTTGAAATCCAGGATTTTCGCAGGTCAAGGAATGCTACTTATGCTACTATTTGGATACTTTTTCAGATTTCATCCACAAAAAGCTACTATTTCTGTTTTTTTTTTTTTAATTTCCACTACTTTAAAAAATTTGCTAATACTAGAAATCAAAAAACTATTCTCAAAAATTATAATCAAATTCTTTAAAACGGAAAAAAATAAAAATTAAATTAAATTAATTTTAATTATTTTCAAAAAATATTCCAAATTCCATTATTTAAATATTCAAATATTACTTATTAAATTCCATTATTTTCAATATCTAGTATTTTCATAAAATTTCGCAAAAGACTTCAATTTAAACAAAAAATTAATAAAACTCATCCAAAATTTAATTATTTTCATAAATAATAAAACTCATCTAAAAATTTCAATTATTTTTAAAACTATTTTAAATTAATTAATTGAAAAATTCAATTACTTTTAAAAACAAAATTTATTTACAGAAATTCAATTCTTTTCAAACATTTTAATAAAATTTTTTCCAATAATTCAATTATTTTCAAAAATAACACAATTTTTTAGAGAAATTCAATTCTTTTTATACATTTTAATAAAATTTTCCGCAATAATTCAATTATTTTCGTGAATAATAACATTTTTCTCAGGTATTCAATTATTTTTAAAAATTTTAATAAAATTCTTTTGCAACTATTCAATTATTTTCATAAATAATAAAATTTATCGTAGGATTTCAAACATTTTTAATGCAATTTTACAGGAATTGTTTAAAAAAATGTAATAATTTTTAAAAATTTAAGTTCAATTCCTGGAAAAAATGAATTATTTAAGAAAAATGTTATTTTTTAAATTCTTTGGAAGAATTCAATTATTTACAAAAGTATTAGAATTTTTTATAGGAATTCAATTATTTTCAAATATTTTAATAAAATTGTTCAAAAGAAATCAATTATTTTCAAATACAATTTGAATTAAATTTTTTTTTGAAATAATTCAATTGTTCTTTTAGATTTTATTTAAATTCTTCCCTAAAATTCAATTATTTTCATAAATAATTCTTGGAAAGAATTCAATTATGTCTGAAGTAGGAGAATTCAGCGAAAGAGAAATCGGGCAGAATTATGAGGGAAAAATCAGAGAATTTTTTAAAAACTACCAGAAAAATGTTAAATTTCTAAAATTCTGTTTTTTGTGTATTTTTGAATAATTTTACAATTAATGATATTCAGAAATAAATTTATTATAAACATTTTAATGTATTTTTGGAATTTTTGTTTAAAAAAATATAAATTTGAAAATTTTAATATTTTGGAAATGAAATAATTTAATTCTTGCGTAAAAGTTCATCAAAATATTTGAAAACAATTGAGCTTTTGTTAACAAATTTATAAAAGTTATTGAAATTAATTGAATTCTTTTGTAAAAATTTTATTGAAATTTATAAAAATAATGATGTCTTGAAGGTATTTTATTAAAATCCTATTGAAAATTACCAAATTCTTATCAAGACTTTTATAAAAATTTTTGAAAATAATTGAAATCATGTCCAGAATTTTATTTAATTTTTTTAAAATAATTGAATTCTTGCAAAGATTTTTATTAAAGTTTTTGTAAATAATTGCATAGTTGAAAAGAATAATATTAAATTTCTTTAAAATTGTATTAAACATAATGGAATTTGTGCAAAGAATTTTATTATTTATGAAAATAATTGAATTATTATGAAGAATTTTATTAAAATTTTTTTAAGTAATTAAAATCTTGCAAAAATGTTAGTTGGGAAAATAATTGAATTCTTGCGAAGCTTTTTATAATTTACGAAAATAATTGAAATCTTAAGAAGAATTTTATAAAAATTTTTAAAAATAATTGAATTCTATAGAGGAATTTAATAAAAATTGTACTTAAAATATTTGAATTTTTTCGAGAAATTTTACTGAAATTGTATTAAAATAATTGAATTCTTGGGTTGGAAGTTTTTAAATTCTATTGAAAATAATTAAATTCTTATAAAGTCTTTTATCAAAATCTTTGTAAATAATTAAATTTCTGAGAAAATTTTATTATTTTTGAAAATAATTGAATTCTTTCGAGAAATTTTATTTAAATTGTATTGAAGAAAGTTAAATTCCTATGAAGATTTTTTTTTTACTATAAAAAATAATTTAAAAATTGCGAAGATTTTTATTTTTAATTAAAATAATTTATTTCCCGCCAATAATTTTATTTTTTATGAAAATAATTGAATTGTTTCGACAAATTTTATTAAAATTCTTGAATTTATTTTAATTTGTCGAGAGGAATTTGATTAAAATTGTATTGAAAATAATTCAATTTTCAGGAAAAATTGTATTAAAATTTTTTAAGAATTGAAAACAATCGAAATATTACAATTAATTTTATACATTTTTTTTTAAAAATAATTGAATTCATTCGATAAATTTTATTCGAAATAATTGAATTCTTCCGAAGAGTTTTATTAAAATTTTTGAAATTAACTGAATTCTTACATAGAATTTTATTAAAATTTTGTAAAATACTAAATCATAATAATAATTAATTACTTAATAATGTGGATGTTTTTAAATTATAAAAAACATTATTTAGGTTTATTTTGTTTAAGAAGAAACAATATTTGTTGGCAGTACTGTATAATTTAATTTCTGAAAATTTGGTCTGCAATTTTATTTGTTAATTCACTCTCTAAATTTCAATTATAATCAAAATCATTACTTACAATTAGTTTTACTAGATTTTTGCTTTCGAATTAATTAAATTTTATTACCTATAAATATTTTGAAAATCTATTAATTCATTAGTAAATTTTATAGTTATTTAAAAAATAAAAAAATTAATCATTAATTCCAAAAAATAAAAATTTTATGTAAAATTCCATAAAATCAAATTTAAGAAATGAGTTTTTTGTTATGATTTTTAAAAGAAAAATTTATAAAAATTACCTTATTTTCCAGGATTTTTTGTTAATAATTAATTTTTTAATTTTGATAAATAACCTTTTTATTAAAAAATTGGCCTAATTTTTATAGCTTTTATAATTTTAAGAATAGAGTAGGTACATTTATTTAATTTTAACTTTTAAAAAGTTAATTCAATTATTTCGAATAAAATTTATCGAAAGAATTCAATTATTTTTAAAAAAATGTATAAAATTATTTTTTTTACATTTGATAATTTTGAATCTGAAATTATGTAGAAATTGAAATTGATATTTAGAAATAAAACATTTCTTATGTGTAAAAAAATGAATATGTTATTTTTCTAAAAAATTGGACATATCAAGGTCGAGTGAATATTTTTGAGCCTAAAATTAATGATTTTAAGTTAAACTTTCAAATTTTTCTAGAATCGATAATTATTGATTAAAATGTAAAAAGAAGTAAAAGAAAAAAATTCTTTAATTCTGTTCAAAGTGTTGAAACAAAAGTCTGATTAATAATAATATTATTTGTTTAATTTTCCTCATTTACAAATATTGATAAATTTCTTTATTTTCAGGCGTTGGCTCAGCGTCGAAACTTCGTGACTTTGACGACTGGCAAGATCCGCGAGTTTCAACAACAGACGACGATTTAATATCGCCATATTCCGATTCATCGACAAATGATCTCGATCAAATACAACCGCAGGACATGTCAAAGAGTGGAACGTACGTGATACGTAAAGGCAGGAAAAAGGAGAGGAAAATTTTACCAAATTCACCAACACGAATAAAAACAATTGAATTCGATGATCAAGATGATAATCGTTTATCAGAGGTGAAGCGATATTCGAGTACCTTTGACAATATCAAGAGTCTACTGAAGGATGGCGAACACGAGAACGATTCATCGCCTGCAATTCCAAACGATTTGATTCGCGTTGTTTCCCTTCCGGCGATAAACAACGAGGCCGGAAGTCGTACACAACTCGAAATCACCGTCGAGGAAGAGGAATCATCCGATATTGTTGAGAAGGAAAGAAAAAATCGTTCATACATTAAAGTCAACAATTATCAGGACGATGAGGACGATGACGACGACGATGATGATGATGACGATGTCGTTGACACTGGCGGCGGTTTCTCGGGAAAATTCAATTCTACCTCAATGTCCAATTCGAAAAGTTTGGACGCAAAAATTGCCGTCAATCATTTTCTTGAGAATATACCAGCGTCGAGAAAATTATCCAGTGAACATCGTCTCGATTCAAAAATACCAGTCAGCCTATTAATTGAGGATCAAATTGTGAAGAAGGCATTAAATGAAAATCGACGACAATTGGAGAAGGTCAGCGATGCAATTAAGGAAATTGAGAGTGTAAAAAATAGTGAGTCTTACATTGATAGTAAACGATGGCGGAACGGTGACGTGAGATCTAATTCGAAGAGAAATAGTTACGAGAATGATCAAGAGAAAAGAATTGCGGATAATCCCTTTGATAATCGTCCAAAGAGACAGCAAAGCTCAGATTCGGAAACATCCAAGACATCGAGCTCGGAAATCGATTTCGATAGGAGAAAACTCAATGGGAATGAGGTTTATTCATCGGGCAGGCGTATCCGACAGAATGGAATCGAAAATCATAAAAATGATCAGAAACAGATTGAGAATGTTATCGATGCCATTCTTGAGGATTCGAAGAATCCTGATTTTCAGGTGAGAGAAAATCTATTTTTCAAACTAAACAAAACTTTTTCTTTTTACTTTTTCTTTTGCTTATTTCCTTTGATCGGAGAAAATTTAACTGGATTTTCTGGTTTTCAATTTAGAAAAGAACTGATAAACTTTAATACAATAATAATAATATTTCTCTGAAGTTTTTTTTGAGAAACTTACAATCTTAGTTTATTTCTTTTAATTAAAAAAAAAACAATTTTCCAAAAAAGTATCAGTAAAAAGATAATCAAAAATAATAATTAATAATATGTAATAATAATTTGAAGGGTTTTTATTAAAGTTTATAAAAATAATTAAATTTTCTCGAAGAATATGATTAAAATTCTATTAAAAATAATTAATTTCTTGTGAATTATTATTTATGAAAATAATTTAATTGTTTCGAAAAATTTTCATAAAATTTAAATTTTTTGCAAAAATTCAATTTTAATAAAATTTCTCAAAAGAATTCTATTATTTTTGAAAATTTTAGTAAAATTCTTTTAAAATATTAAAATTTTTGAAAATAATTAAATTGTTTCGTTAAATTTGAGAAATTTAATTAAATTTATATTTAAAATAATTTAATTCAATTATTATAATAAAAAATAATCTAAAATAGTAATATATCTATAATAATCTAAAATAAATATCATCAAAAATATTATTAAAATTTTTAAAAATAATTGAATTTTTATTACAGAATTTCATCATAATTTTTGAAAATAATTGAATTTATTTGGAGAATTTTATTGAAATTTATTAAAATAATTGAATTCTTTTCTAATAATAAAATTGTATTAAATGTAATTGCATCCCTATATAGAATTTTTTTTTTGAAAATAATTGAATTATTTCTAAAAATTTTTCTATCTAAACAAAACTGTTTGCTTATTTCGTTCGATCGGAAAAATTTAACAGGATTTTCTAGTTTTCAATTTAAAAATACTGATAAAGTTAAATACAATAATAGTAATAATAATAATGTTTCTCTGCAGTTTTTTTTTCCAAAACTTACAATCTTAGTTTATTTCTATTAATTAAAAAAAAACATTTTTCCAAAAAAGTATCAATTTTTTTCGATACAATTTTAATAACATTTCTCAAAAGAATTCAAAATAATTTTGAAAATTTTAGCAAAATTCTTTCAAAGTATTGAAATTTTTGAAAATAATTAAATTGTTTTGTTAAATTTTTTATTAAACTTTGACAATAATAAAATTAATTGGATTAATTTTATGAAAATAGTATTAAAAGCAATAGAATTTTTATAAAGAATTTTATTAAAATTTAAAAAAAAAATTGAATTTATTCGGAGAATTTTATTGAAATTTATCAAAATAATTGAATTCTTTTGAGAAATAGTATTAAAATTGTATCGAAAAAAATTAAATTTCTATAAAAAAGTTATTTTTAATTAAAATAATTAATTTCTTATAAAGAATTTAATTAAAATTTTTGTAAATTTAATTAAATACTTTTAAGAAATTTAATCGAATTTTTATTGAAAATAATGTAATTCATATCAAGAGTTTAAAATAATTGAATTCTTTCAAAAATTTGATTAAAATTTTTAAGAATAATTAAATTCTTTCGAAAAATTTCATTGAAATTGTATTGAAAAAAGTTAAATTTCTATGAAAAATGGTTTTACTATAAAAAAAATAATTTAAATAATGCAAATTTTTATTTTAGGAATTGAATACCTGCGAAGAATTTTATAAATTTTAAAAATAATTAAATTGTTTGGACAAATTTTATTAAAATTTTTGAATATATTTTAATTTGTCGTGGAATTCAATTAAAATTGTATTTTTGAAAATAATTCAATTCTCATAAAAATTTTTTTGAAAATATTTGCCAACAATCGAATTGTTTCAAAGAATTTTATAAAATTTTTTTTAAATATTTGAATTGTTTCGAGAAATTTAATTGTAAATAATTGAATTCTTACGAAGAGTTTTATTAAAATTTTTGAAATTAATTGAATTCTTGCGCAGAATTTTATTATTGAATTCTTTCGAGAAATTTTTCAAACTAAATAAAACTTTTTGCTTATTTTGTTCGATCGGAAAAATTTAACAGAATTTTCTAGTTTTCAATTTAAAAAAAAACTGATAAAGTTTAATACAATAGTAATAATAATAATAGTAATAATAATGTTTTTATTTGAAGGTTTTTTTTTGTAAAACTTGCAATTTTTGTTTTTTAATTTAAGACAGAAAACTTATAAGAAAAGAATAAGAATAATAACAATGAAAATATAGAAGAAGATAATAGAAATTTAATTTAAAAAAGATTAAAAGAGATATTTGATTAGTGGTATTATTTTAAATGTAATAATAAATATAATAAAATATTACTTTAATTAATTGTTTAATATGAAAAACTAATGAAATATAAAAAACAAAAAAAACATTAATTATCTTACAAAAATTAAATGAATTAATGTTATGTATCATTTAATAATATTCAATTTCATGAACCTAATGAAATGAATTTATAATATTTCTATTTTATAAAATTCTCGGTTTTAAAAAATTCACTAGTTTTCGTTTTCTCTTATTAATTAATAAATACGAATAGAACATATAGAAACTATAGAATTGTAAATACACAATAAAGAATTAAATGATTTTTAAAAATCTTCTAATGAAGTAATTTTTTATTGATGAAACATTGAAATAATAAAAAGTATCTGAAATTGAAAATGCGGAAAAATATAATATTCTGTCTTTTAAATTCTAGTAAATTGATTAATAGGTAAAATAAAATAATTCACACTCGACATTGATAAATTGTCACATATTTTATTTATTTCAAACAGTGAATTCAAAAATTGGATTAAATATTCACTCGCTTTTTTTCTCCCTTTCTTTTCTGTCACTTCATTTTAGAAATTGAATTTCATTGAAGATAATGATTATACTATTATATATGTCTATGAGGTTTTTTTTTATTTTTTTATTCTTATTTATTTTTATTACCAATATTATTACAATTCTGTTTTTTATTAGAACACGGAGAAAGAATATATTTTAAATTTTCTAAAAGTTTTTTACAATTTGGGGAAAAAGTGCAACAAAGCAAAAATTTTGAAATAAAAAATTCTTGATTCTTGATATTTCATATAATTGTACTAAATTTCACATAAGTTTTTTTAATGTTTAGTATTACTTTTATTTATTATTCTTATTATTAGAAATAAAATCACTATTAATATTTCTATTTATTTTTTATTATTGCGTTACGTAAGTACTTGGGGGCTATATAATGTTCCGCTAATAATTGCTTTCTCGTAATCGATATTGTCCCTGAAAATACCTGCTGATATTGATGGCTATTCTCATTTGATATTTATACACAATATAGAGGGATTATTCCATTATTAGACTTTCTTTGTCAGCTCGTTAGAAATTTATATTAACAAACACTAACAAAAGGATATATATATTTCAAAACTTTGAACAATATTTACGTCAACCGACATAAAAAAAACAAATTGAATGCATTTAGAAGAATATTGCATTTGATATTAAATTCAACTGGCCGTTTTAGAAACGTTAATATGAATATGAAAATAAATAAATATGACAAAAAAAAAGAAAATATGAAAAATTAATTTTCATATTTTTAATAATTGTAATTATAACTATATATTAATGAAATATTTCTATATATATTTTCATATTTTTATTCGCATTTTAGAATTAATATTTTTTCGTATACTTATTTACTTTTGTATTTTTATTAAATTTATGTTTTTTCATAATTATATATTTTCATCTTCACATTTATTCAGATTCTTTATTTGTTTATATTCATATATTTTTATAGCAATATTATTTTGAATGTTTGTTTTTTTCCTATTTATCAATTTCCATTTTTTCATATATTTCATTTTAGAATTCATATTTGTTTCTATTTACACAATAAAATTTTTTTAAATATGTATCGTTTATCGTTCGATTTTGAACGTATAACAATTTTATTATTGAAATTAATTACAAATGTGAATTAGTTTTTCTTGTATAAAATATTTAATGTTTCATAACATTTTATCATCGTATCAAATTTCAATATAGTAAATTATTAGAACGAAAGATTTTAAATAAAAAATAAATATTAATTTTTCATTTTTTATTTTCAAATTTTAATCCAGTAAATAATTTGAACGGAAGAATTTAGAAATATACATTTTTAGTTAATTGTTAACAAAAATGGTGACAAATGAAAATAATAAATCTTAATATAATTTTTTATATTTTCGTAAATTAGGGTATAAATTAAATAAACTTTTCAGTTTTTTGATTTTTTAAATTTTCTAATTTTTTAATTTTTGGGTAAATTTAAATTTAATATTTTTAATTGTTTGAATAAATGAAGTAGAATCGTGATATTAATTCGATTTTATTATTTGTCAGGTGAGCGTTGAAGTTCTTGAATTCCCGCCTCTGCCACCGTCGCCAGTGGAGGAAGCCGACGAGGAAAGTTCCGACGTTGGAAATAATGCTGTAATTTTAACGAAATCGAAAGTCCACAATAATCGAACTGTTGAATACAGACCGCGAGTACCTCCTCATCGTGGCCTTAGCACCGATTCAAAGGAGCATCAAAATTCCCTCAACACTAGGTCCATGGACGCAGGTTATTCAAGAAGTCGACGAACGCCAACTGCCAGCAATTCTAGACGCGAGGTGAATTATCCACTGTTTCCTCTCTACTCAATGCTTTTTTTTCTTAAAAATTCTACCTTCTTTGGTAGAATTTTCCTTTTTTATTTTTTAATTCCAATAATTTTTTTTGTAAATTTTCCCGCTTTTTCAAATCAAGTAAATTTGAAACTTTGTTATTGTGAATTTATTTGATATCAAAAAGCAAGAAAATTGTCCTTAAAAAAATTGGAATTTGAAAATTTTTTTAAATTAGAAAATTGAAAATTTCAAATTTTCTAATTTCAAATTTAATTGATTTAAAATTGAAATCTTCTAATTTCAAATTTATTTACTTTGAAATTACAAAATTTCCAATTTATTTGCTTTCTTTTGAAAAGATTTTCGAAACAAAATAAACTTTTTTATTTGAAGAAAAAGCATCATTTGACAAATTCTCGAGTTTTTAGAAACAGAAAATTACTTGAAAAGAATAATTGGGAAATTAATGACAAATGTGACAAGTTATCAAAGAAATAATTATTTTCGAAAGTTAACAAAATTCTTTTAAATTTTTCTAATTAGGAATTCGAAAAACTGTTTAATTCTTTTCATTAGAAATTAGAAAAAATGTTTCCATTTTTCTAATTTAAAATTGGAAAGATTGATTACATTATTCAAATTAGAAATTAGATAAGTAACTTTTCTAATTTCTAATTTGAAAAATGCAAACAATTTTTCCAAATTTTAAATTAGAAAAAAATTAGAAAAATCCAAATTAGAAAAATTAAAAAAATAATTCACAATTAGAAAAATTCAAACGATTTTTTTCAATTCCTAATTAGAAGAAAAAGGAAACAATTTTTTCAAATCTTAAAAAGAAAAATGTAAACAAATTTTTCTACTTATTATTATAAAATTTTCCAATTATTAGGAAAATTTAAACAACTTTTCCAATTATTATTAGAAAAAGAGCAACAACATTTCTAATTAGTATTAGAAATATTAAAACAACTTTTCTAATTTGAAATTAGAAAAATTATAAAAATAACTCATAATTAGAAAAATCATCAGAAAAATTGAAACAATTTTTTTATTCCTAATTTGAAAAATGTAAACAATTTTTTAATTTTTAATTAGAAAAATTAAAATTAGAATTATTCCAGTAAATTGATAATTAGAAAAATTAAAACTGTTATTTTAATTTTTCTAATAATTTTTCTAATTTAGAATTAGAAAATTTGTTTTCATTTTTCGAATTAGGAATTAAAAAAGTTGTTTTAATTTTTCAAATAGTTTTTCTAATTATGAATTAATTTTACAATTTTCCTAATTTGAAATTAGAAAAGTTGTTTCATTTTTCCTAATAGTTAGAAAAATTTGTTTCCATTTTTTTTTTTGTTAAGATTTGAAAAACTTTTTTCCATCTGTTTCTAATTAGGAATTGAAAAAAATCGTTTTAATTTTTCTAATTGTAAATTATTTTTTTATTTTTCTAATTTTGAATTAGAAAAGTTGTTTCAATTTTTCTAATAATAATAATTAGAATTTTATAATAATAATTAGAAAAATTTGTTTTCATTTATCTAATTAAAATTCGAAAAAATTGTTTTCCATTTTTCTAATTGGGAATAAGAAAAGTTGTTTCAACTTTTCTAATAATATTTCTAATTATGAATTATTTTTACAATTTTTCGAATTTTTGAAATTAGAAAAGTTGTTTCAATTTTTCTAATAATAATTAGAAAAGTTGTTTCGATTTTCCTGATAATTAGAAAATTTTCTAATAATAATTGGAAAAATTTGTTCCATTTTTCATGTTAAGATTTGAAAAAATTGTTTCCATTTTTTTCTAATTAGAAATTGAAAAAAATCGTTTCAATTTTTCTAATTGTGAATTATTTTTGTATTTTTTCTTATTTGGAATTATTAAGTAAAATTGTTGTTTTAATTTTTCTGAATAATAATTAGAAAAATTTGTTTTCATTTTTCTAGTTAAGATTTAAAAAAATTGTTTTCATTTTTCTAATCTTGAATTGAAAAATTGTTTACATTTTTCGAATTAGGAATTAAAAAAGTTGTTTTAATTTTTCTAATTTTTCTTATTTTGAAATTAGAAAAGTTGTTTCAATTTTCCTAATAATTAGAAAATTTTCTAATAATAATTAGAAAAATTTGTTTCCATTTTTCTTGTTAAGATTTGAAAAAATTGTTTCTAATCATGAATTGAAAAAAATTGTTTTAATTTTTCTAATTAGGAATTAGAAAAGTTGTTTCAACTTTTTTAATAATAGTTAGAAAAGTTGTTTTAACTTTTCTAATAATAATTAGAAATTTTGTTTTAATTTTTCTAATTAGAAATTATATAGATAAATTATGTTCTAATTTTACTATTTAAGAATTAGATAAATTATGTTCTAATTTTCCTATTTAAGAATTATTTTTTCTAATTAAAAATTACTTTCTCCTTTCGCCAATTCTAATCATATTTGGACATCCTTAAGAGAAAAAGGATCAAAAAAATAATTTTCCCAGAACCTGCTCACGATAAAACGAAGACAATAAAAAAAACGAGATTATCGAAATTCGACAAAACTTTCTGTCCAATTTTCGAACAATAATTGTTCGATGAAAAGAGGAAAAGTAGTGGTAAAAAGCATCTTGTTACATGGACGTTCTAAAGCGTATTTTAAGCTTAGAAGTTTTTGAGACTAAGTTAAAGCCACTGGAGTTGGTCATAAAGTCACCTTCACTTATAAAAGTTGGTTCGTGGTAACGCCTGAAACTCGCTTCACTTTTCAGGGAGAGGGGCAAGAACATGAAGATGAAAAAAAAGAAATAGAAGAAGAAGAAGAGAGCCAGCAATATGGCATCCGAGAAACGGATTCTTTTTGATGGCCGAATCTTATACTTTATTCGCGAATGAAAGAACTAAGCTTTTATATCACATGAACTTTACTGTCGCAAAGAGACGAGAGTTTTCGAGTCGCTCTTGTACTATCGAGGTCGTTGTTACTGACATAACGTAGATACACTCTTCGTATTGTAAGTTCCTTCTTGAATCGTATTATCCTTTCAAGTTTTCTTCATCATAAATAAACTCTTCTCTTTCTCTCTTCGCGAAGTCTCGGCGCATTAACGAAAATTACACGAGACTCTCGAATAAACTATCCATTCAGAAATTGTTCGAAACTTTTCGACGATTCATTTAAAAAGGAGACAATTGAAGGCGAGGAAGAAAAATTTTAAATTGATAGAATTAAGAAAATTTTTGTTTTTCTTCGATAACTTGGTGTTATTGTTACCATTATTTTTTTTCAAGTACTTTTTAAAGAATTTTCGTAATAAAAAATTTTTTTTCATAATAGAAAAAAAATAGAAAAGTTAAACAGGAAAAAGAAAAAAAAATGGTTTCGAATTACGAATTTTCGGCATAGAAAACAAAAAAGAAAAGAGAAAAGGAAAATAAACGAAAATGAAAGTAATAAATGCGATTAAAAATTATAATCTGAAAAAATTGAAGATGAATGAAATTACAGAAGAAATAATTAAAGGAAAGACTATTTAAAATTGAGGAAAATTGAACGGAAGAAAAATTAAAATTTAGGGAAAATTAAACTTAACGAAAATTGAAGATTAATGAAGAAAAAGTTAATAAAGATTGGAAGTTCACGAAAAATTGAATCAATTGGAAATTTCAACGATTTCAATAAAAAAGAAAAAATCAATCGCAATGAAAAATGCAATTAAAGGCAAAAATTAAAAAAAAGGAAATAAAAAATTTTTGTTTTGAAGAAAAATTGAATCAAATAGAAATTTCAACGATTTTGCCAAAAAAGAAAAAATCAGCCACAATAAAAAATGCAATTAAATCCAAAAATTAGAAGAAAAGTAAATAAAAATTTTTGTTTTGAAAAAAAATGAATCAAAACGATTTCAATAAAAAAGATAAAATCAATCACAATGAAAAATGCAATTAAAAATCCAAAAATTAGAAGAAAAGTAAATAAAAATTTTTGTTTTGAAAAAAAAATTGATTCAAGTGGAAATTTCAACAGAAAGGGAAAAAAAATCAGCCACAATGAAAAATGCAATTAAATCGAAAAATTAGAAGAAAAGTAAATAAAAACTTTTTGTTTTGAAAATAGAAAAACAAAAGCGTAAGTTTTATATTGAGTTTAATTTGATTTTTTTTCTCTCTTTCTTTTTAAGAAGTAATCGATATAGACATGGGAAATTCCAGAACTGAACGATGGGAAGAAGAATGAGGAAATCAATCACCGAAGATCGCGAAGAGAATTGTTGAGAGGTCAGAGCTTTCTCAATTGCTGCTTCCGAACGTCGAAACCCACGTCATGAGACTTCAAATAGAAAAGAACGAAATTCCAGACACGGGGAAAAGCCAATGAAGTCCCTAAGAACCAAGTAGATTTGGATTTCGAGATAAAACGATTTATCATGAGTGCAAAAAAAAAGAAGAAGGTGAAAAAAGAAAGAAAAACGTACTCGAAATCATCTCCTATGTACAAGGCCTGTTAATGTTGAGACGAGAAAACACAAGTTTAAACATACTTCATTTTTCTACTTTAATGATTTTCGACTTTTCGAAACAAGAAGAAAAATACTTGAATAAGAAGAAAAATCTTCTAAAGTTTTCAAGAATATTTTTCTTTTAAATTGTAACATTTTTAAATACAAAAGAAAAAGCAAAAAAATAATTTTCCAAAATGGAGAAGCAAAATACTTAAAAATGAAGATAAATCTTCTGATGTTTCCAAAAATATTTTTCTTTTAAATTGAAATATGAAGAAGAAAATTAAGAAAATTTTCTAAACTATAAAAGGAAAATTTGTTAAATTACGAAATGAAATTCAACTTTTTAATTGAAACGTATTTTAATACAAAAGAAGAAGAAAAGAAATTTGAAGTATTCTATAAAATCGAAAAGAAAAGTATTGGAATAAGAAGAAAAATTGTTCAAAAATATTTTGTATTTGAATGCAAAAGAAGAAGAAAAGAAATTTGCAGAAGAATAATTCTACAGA